TGACTTTAACGTCCACCCTGTCTGCAGGTCAAAGGTGGAGTGCGAAATACCGCTGTGACAAAGACTGGCTGAATAACGGGAGAATGTGCGGCTTGTCATTTTTAAAAGAAAATTACTCTCATCTCAATGCCAAAAAGATTGTTTCCACTCATCGGCTGCTGGCAGATGTGTACGGTGTGGCAGAGGTGCTGCATGGCCTGCAGCTGAAGATCGGCATTCTGAAGTGAGCCCCAAGGACCCCCCAGGGAGCCAGGGAGCAGCCTTGGGCCCTCAGCCTGCAGGGGCACCACAGGGAGCACTCCTGGGATGTGGTTTCCTCCGATCAGAGCAATGCTGAGGGTCTTGATGGGGAGTAGCCACAGGCCTGTGGGAGTCCCCTTATCCCTGCCCACCTGGGCATGCAGCCCAGGTGACTGCATTCTCCAGGACAAGGAGTGGAAGGGCTGTTTGCCTCAGCACTTTGCCCGATCAGGCCCCCGGCCAGTTTTCCTGCTGGCCTTCTACCCGATTTTACTCAATTCTTCTGAATGCTTAGTTAGCACTCTTCTTAAAAAAACAAACAAACCAACAAAGTCATGTTTTATATGAACCAGAATTGACTACTTCTTCATAAGGAGGTGGTCTTCCTTTTGTCTCAGTTGCCTGAGCTGGGAACTTGTGTCCTCCACCCCCTCCGGCCCTCTGTCACTGTAACCCTGTAGCATGGTAAGCAAGTCTCAGCTCTCCCTGTTTCCGTTGGCACACTCAGCCCAGCTGAGTCCCCGCAGTTTGGCCTGTGCTCCTTCAGCTCCTGTGTATTATCCCCTGTGTGGTTGTGTCACGAGCACACCTCTTTGAAGGCCACTATCCAATGCAAATGTGTGTGTGTTACCCAGCACACTAGTGTATGGCTGAGCTGGCCATGCTGCGTGCAAAGACACACACACTCACTCCTATGGTGGGGAATTGGGTGGCCAGGCTCTGCAGAGGCACATGGCACCAGTTCAGCCAATAGAGCAAGGGAAGGGATCTAAAACACCCCTGTGATGAAAAAGGCACATTGTGTGTATAGGATGAGCCTCGCTTGTGGAGAAAATACACGTGTTATGCATTTGGCTAACAGCAAGGTCAGCAGTTTGAAACCACCAGTGGGAGAAAGCTGAGGCTTTCTACTCCTGTAAAGAAGTGCTGTCTCAGAAACTCACGGGAGCAGTTCTACCTTGTCCTGGAGGGTCGCTAGCAGTTGGCATTGACTTGATGGCAATGAGTTTATTTTTTGACTTTTTATGTATTTAAAACAATTTTACCTGTGAGAAAAGTCTAGAATACTACACTTCAGCTGTTTAGGATCACCTTGGGGAGACAGGTTCCTTTATACACTTAGTGTCTAAATTTGTGTCATTGTTAATTGAGCAGCTAACTTCAAAGTGCGTAGTTCGAAACCACTAGCCACTCTATGTGAGAAAAATGAAGCGTTCTACTCTGGTGAAGAGTGAGTTGGCTGTGAATCCCCATAGGGGCAGTGCCATAGGAGTTGGAATTGGCTCGGTGGCAGTGAGTTTCCTGTCACTTTATGGTGGAATAAAGGCTTTCACATAGACACCCTCAAGGTCTTTCCACGTCTTAGAATTCCAAGTCTATAAGGAAGCAGAAAGCTCAGTACAAATCGGGATGTGAGCTGTCTGCCGAACGGGGTTCAAGTTTGCTCTTTGGGCTTGGTGAGCATCCACTCAGAGGTGAAATGCCGGCGCTAGCAGACTGACAGAGGAGCACTGTTAGGGCAGCCCTGCGGGGCCTGCAGAGAGGGCTGGGGAACCCAGCCTGAGTCTGGTCCCCAAGGCGTGTGCAGTCAGGAGCCATCCAGGGCCACCAGGAATGCTTGCCCCCTCTGGCATGCCGTGAACTCATTCCGCTGTCTCATTCTGAGCTGCTTGTCTCTCCTCCTCATCTCCAGGAATAAGCATCACCCTGACCTGCATCTCTGGGCTTGCACTGGGAAGTGGAAAGATCCAGATCGGGCCATTGCTGGGGTGGAGAAGAGCGAGGCCGGGCAAGGCCGGGCCACTGCAGAGGAGAAGCCCTATCTGGTCCTGAACCACAAAGAATCACCCTGTGTGCCTCCCCGAGTAGAAGGGACTTACATCACCAGTGAGCACAGTTACCAGAAGCCGCAGCCCCTGGGCCTGGACTGCCGCCCTTGGGCAGAGCCCGGGCACCTGGGGAACAGTGGTGACGAGGACAGCAGCGGTAGTGATGAGCAGGAGTTTCCTCTGGGCAGGGAGAGCCGCCTGCACTTCTCAGGAAAGGAAGATGGCCTGCCTGCCAAGGTACAGCTGGGACAGGCACCTGTGCTCGGGAAAGAGGCTAGGGCAAGAAAGGAAGGTGCTCTGAGACAGAGCCCACTGGAGTTCTGGGGTTCCCGTAGACTTCAAAGTTCCTAAGGACCCTGGGGGTAAAGGCTTCTTATATTTGTCTACAGGAAAACACTGACCGTTGGAACATTTAATTACTCCCTAGCCCTGGTGGTGTAGTGGTCATGTGTTGGGCTGCTCCCCACATGGTTAGCAGTTCAGAACCACCAGCCACTCCTCAGAGAAAGGTGGCGCTTTCTATTCCTGTGAAAGGTTGTAGTGTCTAAAACCCACAGTTCTACTCTGTCCTGTTGGGTCGCTGCGAGTCGGCATCGACTCGGTGGCAGAGAGTTTGTTTGTTGGGTTAAGCAGTGTTCGTTTCTGCAGATGTAAAACAGTGTTTTGTTTCTGTCTTCACTGCGCTGATCCAAGTCCATCCTGTTCAGCAGGATGGAGTCCAGTAGGTGGTCTGTAGGCCATCTCTGTAGACCTCCCGGTGTTTCTGTCATCCCCTGGCTCTGACTCCCAGTACACCAGGAGTCAGTCTGCACTCCAGAGACCTGATGACGCTTCCTGAGCTTTTGTTAGGGCCCGCCCCTGCTCTTTCTGCATGTGGCAGGGAGCGGGCAACGCGTCCTCTAGAGCTCCCCTGGGCATTGGGTCGGGTTGCCCGCATTGTGGGTGATGCGGTTTCTAAGGTCTCCTTCCCCGTGTGACACCGCAGCTCATCCCGCTTTCTGTTTTCTCCCGATGGTCCCGGTGGTCCTTTGGAGAAGAGCCCAGCGGAAGGGAGTGCGGTGTTTGTGTATAACGACAGAAAGGGCTCTGAGAACCCTGGAGACGCCCATGTGCAGTGGCAGCTCAACCTTCTCACCCACATCGAGCACGTGCAGGACCAGGTGACCAGCAGACTGGACCTCATCGAGAAGGAAGTTGATGGTGAGTTCGCAGAGAGTGGGCTAAACTGGCCGAGTATAGGGTGCTGCCCTCGTGCTGGGTGCTCACACCCTGACCCTGGGCTCTTTCATCTGCTGGCTGTGGCTGTGGCTGGGTGTTGTTACCTGGGGCTTCCTTTGTCCTTGCGAGCTCTGCTGAGTTCAGCCTCCTTTGACAGTCAGCACAAGGACTTGAAGCAGGTTCTACATCCAGGGAAGCGTGCCCAGCTTGGTGTCCACTTTGGGCCCTTGACTCAGGGAGTCAGACAGAAAAACACCACATCTGAATTAGGTCGACCTGACGTCAGACCTTTTTGCAAGGTTTTCTTTTGTGGCATTTTGTGCTTTCTCAGCACGAGGGAGCCCTGACAAGTCGGCGTGACAGGTTGTCCTCAGTTTCTCGTGAAGGAAACTGAGTTATTTCAGTGACTAGATGCCAAGTCCTGCAGTTGCTATGCTCACCGCCGACACCGTTCTCCTGCTCGCCTCACCCAGCCCTCCCTCATGTCCTCGGTCTCTGTTTATTGTCACCTCTGCGTCCCTGGGCTAGAGCTTCAACTGCTTTCCCCTGTGACGTCTAGCGTGGCCCATCATCACCCATGTGACGAAGAGCACCCACAGTCAGCCTGTTGTCTTGGGTAGGTGGTTGAAAAGGCACTCTGGTGGCCTAGCCGTTAGGCACTGAGCTGCTAACCACAGGCCGGAGAAAGATGCACCTTTTGACTCTCATGAAGAGTTACAGTCTGACAACCCACAGGTGCAGTTCTGCTCTGTGCTCCAGGGTTGCCAATGAGTCGAAGTGGACTCGATGGCAGTGAGATAGTTAATGGAAGGCTTCATAAAGGCATCGGGCCAAAAAGAACTCCTTACTGCAGAGAATCATCATAGGGGCACCTAGTTTTCAGCAGTAATGATGGAGTAGGACTGTGAATGACATTGAGAACTTGCTGCCTCTTTCACTTGCTTGCAAAGAACCTCTGGGGTTAAGGAGAGGAAGAGAGAGATAGACTCAAAATAGAGGTAGCTGGCCGTTGTAAAGGGGCGGGCCATCAACCCTGAGGGGCTGGGACACTTCAGGCAGATGTGAAGGGACTCGGACCCTTGGAAAGGCCTGCCTCACATGTACCGGCCCCTGGTAAACCAGGCAGTGCGCATCCCTCCCTTATGCTCATTCTGTCCCGTGGCATTTGTTCCAATTCTATCCAAGTGTCTGTGTTCTCTTCTCTCAGTTCTAGAGAGCTGGCTTGACTTCACAGGGGAGTTGGAGCCCCCAGACCCTCTGGCGAGACTGCCCCAGCTCAAACGGCACATCAAGCAGCTGCTGATTGACATGGGAAAAGTACAGCAGATAGCAACCTTCTGCTCCGTATGACAGCAATGGAGACCTCCTGACAAGAACGTGCCTGTCCCGTCAGATCCCATTCACTGTCCACGTGGCTGCTGGGTGGACTCTCAGGAAGCCCCGCTGCGTCTGGTCCTTCCCCGATTTGCGATGTTAATAGGAGTCCCTCGGAAAGGAACTGGAAGGACAGCTTTGTGGAGGGGGAGCCTGTGAACACGTTGCCAGAGCTGGTGTGCTCTGGGCCGCGGAGCAGGGCGGGCCTGGGTCTTTGAGAGACCAGCGCGGGCCTGGGTCTCTGGTGAGCCGCATACGTGGGGAGAGAATGTGGTGGACTTAACGTGCTTGTAGCAGAAAACTCATGTTTCTAAACCAGCATTTGGCCCAAGACAAAACTGTTGAAGAAACATAAGCCCTAGCCAGCTCTCCAGGGCTGCTCTAAGAAGCCCGCTCTGCCACCTTCTGCTGCCCAGAAGGCTCGGGATTTAAACTGGTCCTGGGCCATGCCCTGTGTCTGAGGTGGTGTGTGTCCTCAGTCGGAAAACTGACCTTGGTGGCCTGCCTCCTCCCGCCTGGGGAAAGCACATGTGGAAGCCCAGCTTGACGAGGAGTTCATGGAAGAATCAAGCACCGCGTACTTGGAGCTTGTGGTCGTCCACATTCCCTCCATGCGGCTTCTGGAAGGCTCCGTGTGCCAAATGAGGATGCTGCTGGGGAGAGGTGTCTCTGTGCTGGCTGCCCTCCCACCCCACATCCACCACCAATGTAGATGCCACTTCTGTGGGCCTGTGTGGGTTTGAACCTGGGCTTGCGGTTCCGCCCCAGCCTGGTCCTGAGGATGGGTTTTGGTTGCCCTCTAAGGACAGTGTGAGGCACCTCAGCTGAGTTGAGGGGTCTCAGGAGTATCAATATAGCCCATGGCTGTGGATTTTTAACTGCTAGTAGTGGAATACTGGAGCACTTCATGTGTGAAGATGAATTTTATTTTTAAAACAATACATGCACGCTCAAAACCTTTCGCTTTGGTCACAAACGGACACACTTCTGAAACCAGAGGCAACTAAGTTGCTTCCTTGTCTCTTGCTGGATTGTGAGCCTCCACCCCTGCAGTGCTCATGGGAGGGGCTGTACTTCCCCCGCCCCGCCCCGCACAGGTGTGTGTGCTTGTTGTAAACAGACACCCGCCATGCAGAAGTGTATGTAGTCTGCACATATTTATATCTCCACACAAGTGAGTTTTATTCCTATAGGCACTCGGAACCAGTGGTTAGTTAACATGAAATGTTACCTTTTAACAGACTGTTTTTAAACATTAAAAATGTATGTACAGGTTTTGAAATTTTTTTAAATGGAGGGGTTTCAAAGACTGCTCAGAAGAAGCTGTTGGGTGGCATGCCCCACTTGAACCTTTTATGCCTCATCCCGCCGATCAGTTCTCAAGATCTGTGTCAATGCAGCTTAGACTGACAGACAGTAAACACTTGAATTTATTGTTGATAAAGAATACATGCCACTGTACATCGGATATTATTTAAATTTACAAACACACTGATCCATATGTAAGGTACTGTATGCAAACCCCTTGATTAAAACTCTCCCACATATCCTGGGATTTCAGCTTGCCTTATTGCAGCCTGACATCTTGACATAGAGATGATTTCAAAGACTGCAAAACAGATATTGGAGATTTGAATGCCTTTGAAGATTCTCCACCTCGACAAATGTGCCAAAGATGAGTGGACACAAGATACAGGCCTGTCTGTGTATTTGCTTGTGGTTCATTAATGCTGTCACAACGATCCTATGGACACACGGAAAGCTTTTGTAGCTGAGATACTGTGGGCCGATTGCTTCAATCTGCATATTAAAGGAAAAAGAAATAGTGCCTTTATTTCATGTGCGGAGTAAATCTGCTAATGTCCACATTTCAAACTTCTCTCTCTCTGTTGTGTTTAAAAAGAATGCTTCTCGTCTTTTGCCTGTCTGTGTCTAAACTCTAGACATTGAGGTTTTATCTTCTGTTCTCACAAAAGGGGCAAGTAGCATCCTTCACTTCCTGTTCCCTGGATTGGTTCCCAGACACCAAAGACCCTCCAGGTCCAGTCATACTTAGCATTTCAGGCCCCAGTGACCGGGGTTGCATGAATGCACAGTGTTCTTACAGTCTCAAAATCCCATCACTGCTGTGGTAGCAGTCGGCCAGCCAACTGGAAGAACTTCCATGCGTAACTTGTGTCTTAAATGTTTTTGTCTCCTCACTTGGATGTGAATTGAAAGTGTGGATTTTTAATATAGACTTGTAAAATGCATCTCTCTCAGGTCCCTGGCATGCTTATGCCCACTGACCGGGGACGGAGCGGGAGGGAGGGAGGGAGCGAGTGAGCAAGTGAGGGATGATGGAAGCCTTTCATCAACCGGGAAGCCAACTGCCCTTTCTCAGAGAGTGGGCTGGTTTCTGCACAGCGCAGCCCAGCGAGAGGGCTCAGGTGATCTTGGTTTCATGTCCACTTCCTCTGACGGGCGTAAAATGAGCAGTGAACAGAGAACACAGCGTCTCCTTTGGCCACAGGCAGAATGGTGGGGCCGCTGATGGGAGGGGCCCCTTCCTCCCACTTCCTTGTGCTTGACACCTGCGGTTTTGGTGACATCGGTCCAAAGCTAACGGTAATGCTCTTTGTCCTCTCAGGAATCAGCCCTTTTCATCGTTTTAGCTAAAACTTCAGCACAGATCATATTTCTACTGACTTGTGGGCTGTCAGAAGAGCCGTGGGGGTGTAGTGCTTACTGGTTGAACTCTGATCCCCAAGGTCAGCATTTCGAAGGCACCAGGCACTCTTCTGGAGAAAGACGGGCTTTCTACGCCTGTAAATAGTTACAGGGGCCACAGGGGCGGCTGTATGTCCTCTGTTCCTACAGGGTTGGGCTGAGTCGGCCCTCGATGACCCACTTCCTCGCTGAGTCTCCTGTGTCTGCGCACCTCCTTTCTTAACCCTCTGAACTTGGCCTCCGACAAGTCATTGCTGTATAAAAGAAGGCGGTATTCCTTTGGGACGTGAAATGATTACTGAAAAGGTGGTGTGAAAGCTATGTTGTTCACAGATGCTAAGGAAGGTGCGCCTATATTGTTGGAACAGGTGTTGGGAAGTAGCATCACCTATTCAGAGTCTCTTGGTGGCAACATTTGTGCCTATCCCCAATGGCTTCTCCCTTCCCCCCATGTTGTTCCATCCCCTCCATCTGCCACCACCCCTGCCCCACAGGCTAAGCACTTGAGTCTGTCTTGGGTTCCACTTTCAGTACTCATCTAGGGACCAAGGGATTCCTTTGTAAACATCCCTTTGATCAGTCATTGAAGATGGCTCCTCATGACCCCGTAGGACGGGGTAGAACTGCCCCTGTGAGGCTCCGAGAGGGACTGTGTAGGAAGTAGGAAGCCCATCTCTGTCCCGTGGAGGGCTGTAGTTCCCCACAGCTGACTGAGGGTCACAGGCCAGCGTATAACCGGGATGCCATCAGGTTCCTTCGAGAACGCATACTTCACTGGCAGTATTCACTGTGCCCATCGGCTTACAGACAGTGACCCAGGAGGACTAATCCCAAATCTGGTCTACCCTGTGACTGTATGGTTGGTGCACACACAGCTCTCCACATCCTTGGTCTTCAGTTCCAACCCATTGTAAGAGTAAGAACTTCTAGAGTGTCCTTGTGCGGATGCATTATGACATAAAAAACTGACAGTGAGCTGCATAACAGAATCGGAAAATTCACTCTGCTCTTCTCACTGCAAACTAAAGTGGCGAGGGGGGATTGCAGGCGACAGAGCTGGGGCTCCGCACAGCCCTGGAGTTGAGACTGACTGGCAGGCAGCACAACTCCCAGGACAGGACTGCACACTCGTGCCTTCCCTCCTCAATCTCTCCGCACTGCAAGCCCCTCCACACCTCATCAGCAGGTGTGTCCCATCAGAGGTCATCTTCACTTACTGGGGAGGGAAAGGGGAGCTTGAAGAACTGGCGAAGACAACAGACCAGGGAGGACTTCCCTTGACGAGGATGTGGTATAGAGGCATGGGGAGGCTGCATTCAGAGGGGTTTAAGAACTAGACGGTGGATTGAAGATTCCGAGGACACTTGATTTGATTTGAAACATGGGGGGGCGGGGGGGCGGGAGAGGGGTTGCTGCAAAGTATGCAAGGAGACTGGGGGGTTTGGGTCCACACACTGGTGTGAGAACAGCGGGCGTGGCAGTCTGCCACATACTGGTTTTCCTACCCAGCAGTTACTCGGGGTCTCCAAGCCTCTGCTTCCTCATCACTAAAGAGAAAATAGTAGACACTCATAGCTGAAGACATCAACCCTAGTTTCGCACCAATTGGTAGAACCAGTAGACCAAAAACATTAGGGAAATATAGAAGGGTTGGAACCAAATGGATATTTATATATCTTTACATCCAACTACAAAAAATTATGAATTTGTTGGAATTGCAATAAAAAAAATGTAGACTGTGTTAATCTAAATAGTGGTGATCTGACTACAATTGACTTCTTCTGGAACGTAACACCGGAAATGTTTTCGGGGAAATAAAAACAAGCAAATGTTTGGAAACTAAATAGCATACTTGTTAATTCTTGGGTCAGAGGCAAAGATTACAAATTAGAAAATATTTTTTAAATTAAGTGAAAAGGAAAACGTTTAAATTAGTGGATATGGCTCAAGCAACATGAGGGGAAGGCGTAGCATTACTGCATGCTTTCTTTACAAAGCAGACAGGTACACGATGAGCGAAGATTGCTCCTTAAAGAGACGGCATGGGGAGAGTGGAGGAGCAATGAAAACCAGACTAAACAGAAGGAAGTGATAGGTGTACATGTTGAAACTGATAAAATACTAAATATTTAATATGGAAACACCCATTTAAAAAAAGGCAGCTCTTTAAACTGAACCCGATAAATGGTAACCCCTTAGATAAACTAGCCACAAGTTACCAGTATCACAAATGAAGAAGGGGCTGCTTTAAAATGGAAAAGGTTTCTAAAATGGAGTGGACTTAAGTCTTGGGTTTGGTCATGGACGTTTGGATAAAATACCAAAAGGATACCCGGGGATATGGTGTGTTGGGCCATTAAAATGGAAAACTCTGAAAGACCCTGCCACAGACACAGGACCGTGGAACAGGCCCAGACCAGGAGGAAGTCCGTAGGAAATACGTGATCAATGACTCGTAGACAGGATGTACCACAAAATCTTAAAACTCAATAAGAAATCGGGGACAAATGAGCCTATGAAGAGATGCGCACTGTGTTGCCAGGGAATTTTGAATGAAAAAAAACCCCCCAAAACGAGGTACCAGCAGAAAATCCCAAACAGTGACATCCAAAACCAAACTCAAGCCAGTGCCGTGTTGACCCAGAGGATTCATTGCTGGCGGGAATGCAAACTGCTCCAGGGGCTTTAAAAGACAGGCCATTGTAGGAAACTAATCAGAGGCTTACTGAATGACCCGGTCACTGTGTTTCTATTTACCCAAAGGCATAGGAACAATTGAGTGGACCAAGGGGCCACTCAGACATCAGTCTCCACAACCCTGAGACCAGAAGAACTAGATGGTGCCCGGCTACCACGGAAGTGCTTTGGAAGGCACTTGAAGAGCCTGCCTGGAGTAGGAGGAGAATGTGGAACAAAATTCAAGAGCAAAAACATCAGGCTTACTGGTTTGGATAGAGATTATTGAGTTCTCAGGTCTGTGGTCCTCCAGAGGCCTGCTGGCGCCATGGTTACACCTTGGGCTGTGATCTGCAAGGCCCATGTTCCAAACCATCAGCTGCTCCGAGGGGCTTTCTGGTGCCATAAAGAGTGCACGGCCTCAGGCGCCCACAGCGACAGTTCTACCCTGTCTTATGGGGTCGCCACGCGTTGGCATCAACTCCACAGCAGTGAGTCATGGTCCTTAGCCATCCTTCAAGTTTGGAACGGAACTTATCCCCCGTGGCTCACATTTCCACAAGAAAACAGTAGCACTAGGGAAGTACGCACACCTTCTGGTGATCAGCCTTGTGAGGTCCAGAGGGCAGTGTGCACATCAGCGCAGCGTGCAGAAGGATTAGGAGAGGAGGAGGGATGGAAACGAGTGGGTGAAGTGATGCCACAGGAAGCAAAATGTGTATAAATTGTTGAATGGAAAACCAGTCTGCTCTGCACACCTCCCCCCAATTCACAAGAAGTTACAGAGCAATTTATCTCTAGGTAAAATCCACGCACGAGAGTTTGGTCCTGCCTCTGATCACTGCCATCGAGTCAGTGCTGAGTCATAGTGACCTAGGTCAGTGAGTTACTTAATTATGCCAACCTGGCCGATAATCACATGTGGGGCTGGTTGAAAGGCGGAGGGATAAATGGGTGGTGAGCCTCGCCTTTTTAGTTCTCGGGTCTCTTGCTTTGTGATGGTCGCACCAGGGTGCAGCTGCCTGAGCAGCTCCCTGCTTCAGCTTGCAAGATTGACTTCCTACAAGACATCCCCAAGGAGAAGCCATATGGACCTATCCCGATGCAGCCCTGGGTGTTGGAGCAGCCGTGTGGAGACCTCTGCTAGTGCTGAGATGCTTATTCGTTCACTGACTCGGCCTACCTCCTGCAGTCGGCATCATTGCCTCTGTTTTGTGAGGTGGAGGACTTTTGGACTGGTGTCGGGTTAATGGGTTAATGTTGGACTTGTGGGCTTGGGCAGCATTGGGTTGGGATGTTTTCGTGATGTGCACATATTTTCTTTACATAAAACTCTCTTATACATGAGTTGCTGTGGATTTGTTTCTCTAAAGTACCTAGACTAATACAGTCAGGATAGCACTGCCCCCTGTGAGTTCCTGAGACTGTAACTCTACAGGAGTAGAAAGTCCCATCTTTCTTCCGAGGCACGACTGGTGGATTCCAACCGA